CTAACGGTGAAATTTCTATTTAGCTTAGAATTATTTATAATAATTATTCAAGTCCTGAAAAAGTTATACTTTAATATTTAAATTACAAAAGTGCATTATATTTTTAAATAAAACAACATATTACTATAAAAAAAGAAAACCTATTGATTTATGCCATCTAGTATAATTGTATATTTACTTCCGCTACTCCCCACTAGAGGGCACACTAACTCAACATTGTGAAGATTTCTTATAAAACTGTACTATTCCTATTAGCAATGAATACTACTTAATTAAAAAAAACTGAGGCAAGTATCCTGCATTCAAGAGACTTCTGCTGCACCACATTCAGTCGGACACACATTGGCTGAACATGATGGTCCTGAAAATTATCAATTTTAAATGAATTAATATTATGTCTAATGGCAGTTATATCATTTCCATAATGATTGTTTTCAGAATTAAGACAGCAGATACAAAGAAAAATTATAAATTCAATTGTATGTTAATAGATGGCGTTATATATTATCCATAAATGATGTGTAAAATTATTAATATTATATAATATGAAAAATAGTTCTTAAAAAAGGTATATTCTAGTTTTCATATTTCAACTTTACTGATTAATTTAATTTTACTGATTAATAGAAAATCAGACATTAGATAGTAAGTGTTCGACTGTGTATTCATAGACGGTGTTTTTAAAATTTCGAGTTATAAGAGATTATATTACTACAAATAAAGGAATTGAAATTTATTTTGTATTTTAGTATATAAAAAAAACAGATAGTTTTCAGATCAGCACCACCTATCAACAACCACCTACTAACGAAAACAAAAATAGCTCAAAGAATTCGCTTCAAATTATAGCTCCATTCCAATAACAGTAACAACAAAGTATAAGTAAATTATACTTTTGTAAAAATTATACACAGATTAAATAAATAGTAATTTTATATGAGTCAAAATTAGTTTGTGACTTGAGGAATTCTCTTTGACACTAAAATACCTTTTTCTAAACTAAATATCTCCTTAATTATTGTAAATATTTTTTAAATATATCAATACTAGTCGAATCTTTCCAATACAAAATATTATAACTTTCTATTTTCATTTCATTTCCTTATTCTTTACTAACTATTAAAGATTATTATCTTTCTGTTATAAAGTGTTCTTTCCGTTTATTGAGAACCATTTTCCTTGCTTAACATATTTGTTAAAAATAAAAATGCAGTCATTCACCTGTAGAGGATGAAATCTTCTTTTTATCATCTCTAATAATCACTGCCTTTTCATTCTGACATAAAGAAAAAGCTCTTATACATAATCAAATTGAAGTGTAACAAATAAAAAGTACACAATATATTTTCATGTGATAGTACATATTTATGTTTATATTTCACATTCAACTTTCTTTGCTGTGCATTAATGTTAAGCTCTAAGTATAATTAATGATTAAATAAGTTAAACAAAAAATAAAAATAAATTGCTTACTGAACATTCTCATTGGAGTCAGCTGTAGGAAAATTCGTAGTGGGACGGGCGGCGATTTAGAATTGGGGACTTGGCCCCTAGCGGAGTGGGTGGTATTTCTGGATAAGGGACGTGATAGAGAGTCGAAATGTTAAATAAATTTTTTAATACAACAAAAGAGTCAAAAGTTATTGAGACTTAAAGTTATAACATTTCCATACATTATTTTGACATTACTACCATTTAGACACTTGGAGTCAAAACGTCACTTTCAATTGTCAAAATGATCTCCAGATGATTGTCTTTATTTGTACTTTGCGTGAAATTCGAATTTTCTAGTTTTCTAGTCATTTATGGCACTCGCCGGCCGCTACCGCGGCACGCTCGCTTCGCTCGCTCGGCTCGTGCGTTGTGGCAACTGTTCTAACCTAACCTAACCAAGATATGACGAATAATTAATAAATAATCTTAAATGTTCTAACCTAACCTAACCCAGATATGAGGAATAATAAATAAATAATCTTAAATGTTCTAACCTAACCTAACCCAGATATGAGGAATAATAAATAAATAATCTTAAATGTTCTAACCTAACCTAACCCAGATATGAGGAATAATAAATAAATAATCTTAAATGTTCTAACCTAACCTAACCCAGATATGACGAATAATAAATATATAATCTTAAATGTTCTAACCTAACCTAACCCAGATATGACGAATAATAAATAAATAATTAAAAATATTCACAGATAAAAAAATGATTTTTTTTACTAAATGTACAATTGTAAAACAATATATTTTACATAAATCAAATAAAAAGTCATAAATGTATTTATAAAGTGAAAATAATATTTTTCTTTTTATTTATTTATTTATTAATAGTAATATTTTACCAACAGAAAAAGCAAAAATAATCAAATATAATCTGTTGTCATTTAAGCGGTAATATAAAACAAAGTGTCAGTTTTGCTTTTGTCAAAATGTAAGATCATTTTGTTTGTGTTGTGAAATTATTAAAATATTAAATACAATAAAGCATTAATTGTTGTGAAAATGTGTAATGTACATAAAAAAGGATGCGTACTATTCGTTAAAGGTATGTTTATCTGTTGTAATCACTTATTTAGGTAAAGAAATGTATGGAAATGTGTTAGATATGTTATAACTTTAAGTCTCAATAACTTTTTAGTCGTACGTTTCGTCCAAATATTTTTAATATATTTTGACTCTCTGTCACCTCCCCTATCTAAAAATACCACCCACTCCGAATGGTGGTAAAGAAATATATGAAAATGTATGGAAATGTTGTAACTTTAAGTCTCAATAACTTTTGAATCTTTTGTTGTATTAAAAAATTTATTTAACATTTCGAGTCCCTATCACGTCCCTTATCCAGCAATACCACCCACTCCGCTAGGGGCCAAGTCCCCAATTCTGAATTTGTGCCATAATAAAATACAACAAGACGTAAGTAAACTCACAAGTTTCATTCGACTTAATTTTTTTATTGAAGAATAATAATATAATTTTATTGTATTTTTTTATTTTAAGTTATTAACGACTGTCTCAACTAACAAACATTTCAGCGCGTAAAAATTGACAACTGATACTTAGAAGTTAGAACCATTTTAATTGTCATCCATGCTTAGAACTTAGAACCATGGATGACAAATAAAATAGATGAATTAGTTCCCTTAGAACTGACATTGTTGACAATGTTAGTTGTTACTTGTTACAAAGCCGTTCATCGTAAGAAGTCAGTTCGTTGCTACTTGCTATGTTGGTTATCTCCAGATGATTGTCTTTATTTGTACTTTGCGTGAAATTCGAATTTTCTAGTTTTCTAGTCATTTATGGCACTCGCCGGCCGCTACCGCGGCACGCTCGCTTCGCTCGCTCGGCTCGTGCGTTGTGGCAACTGTTCTAACCTAACCTAACCAAGATATGACGAATAATTAATAAATAATCTTAAATGTTCTAACCTAACCTAACCCAGATATGAGGAATAATAAATAAATAATCTTAAATGTTCTAACCTAACCTAACCCAGATATGAGGAATAATAAATAAATAATCTTAAATGTTCTAACCTAACCTAACCCAGATATGAGGAATAATAAATAAATAATCTTAAATGTTCTAACCTAACCTAACCCAGATATGACGAATAATAAATATATAATCTTAAATGTTCTAACCTAACCTAACCCAGATATGACGAATAATAAATAAATAATTAAAAATATTCACAGATAAAAAAATGATTTTTTTTACTAAATGTACAATTGTAAAACAATATATTTTACATAAATCAAATAAAAAGTCATAAATGTATTTATAAAGTGAAAATAATATTTTTCTTTTTATTTATTTATTTATTAATAGTAATATTTTACCAACAGAAAAAGCAAAAATAATCAAATATAATCTGTTGTCATTTAAGCGGTAATATAAAACAAAGTGTCAGTTTTGCTTTTGTCAAAATGTAAGATCATTTTGTTTGTGTTGTGAAATTATTAAAATATTAAATACAATAAAGCATTAATTGTTGTGAAAATGTGTAATGTACATAAAAAAGGATGCGTACTATTCGTTAAAGGTATGTTTATCTGTTGTAATCACTTATTTAGGTAAAGAAATGTATGGAAATGTGTTAGATATGTTATAAACTTTAAGTCTCAATAACTTTTTAGTCGTACGTTTCGTCCAAATATTTTTAATATATTTTGACTCTCTGTCACCTCCCCTATCTAAAAATACCACCCACTCCGAATGGTGGTAAAGAAATATATGAAAATGTATGGAAATGTTGTAACTTTAAGTCTCAATAACTTTTGAATCTTTTGTTGTATTAAAAAATTTATTTAACATTTCGAGTCCCTATCACGTCCCTTATCCAGCAATACCACCCACTCCGCTAGGGGCCAAGTCCCCAATTCTGAATTTGTGCCATAATAAAATACAACAAGACGTAAGTAAACTCACAAGTTTCATTCGACTTAATTTTTTTATTGAAGAATAATAATATAATTTTATTGTATTTTTTTATTTTAAGTTATTAACGACTGTCTCAACTAACAAACATTTCAGCGCGTAAAAATTGACAACTGATACTTAGAAGTTAGAACCATTTTAATTGTCATCCATGCTTAGAACTTAGAACCATGGATGACAAATAAAATAGATGAATTAGTTCCCTTAGAACTGACATTGTTGACAATGTTAGTTGTTACTTGTTACAAAGCCGTTCATCGTAAGAAGTCAGTTCGTTGCTACTTGCTATGTTGGTTACCTAGTTAACAGTATTGCCACTATATACATTCGGTTTATTTACTTATTAAGGTTGGAAATTCAAATTTTAATATATATCATTTTTATGAACGCAAGTGTGAGCTTAATCATATAAAATGCAAAAATAATCTGATTATATTAAATAAACTACATAATAAAGAAAAATCAGGTTGGTACTTAAAATAAAACAAATATTTAAGGTTGAATTTATTGGAATAATAAATATATTTTACGATTTGCAGTACGCATGATCAAATGGCTTCTTGAGTAATTCTAGAAACTGTTCTATCAGATATACCTGTAACAGATATTTACGAAAGGTTTACTAATTACAATACATATCAAGAAAATTTCGTAAGCATACTATTAGATTGAAAGTTCATTATTATAGTATAATTTAATTTCTATAATGTTTTATTCAAAAAACAACGCAGTTAACATGACTGAATATCATATCATTACAAAATGTGAGTTTTTTTACCTATAAATGAGAAAAAACTTTAAAGCTGGCAACTCTATTTTACTCACCCGTCATGGCGGCGACTCGTGATACAACATTTTCTAATGGAATTATTGGACCTTTGGTTGAATTTTCGTTCTCGCAAAAGGCACGCACCTTCACCACAATCTCTGTCTCACTGCTTTTAGTACTTTTGGCATGATTTTGCAAAAACACAGTATATTTCGGATTAAAAACTACGCGCTTCCTATCGTAACTAAATATTTATAGTTATGAATGTTGTTATTACTGCAGGCAGTGCTGCCAACTTGACCGAAACGGACAAGTTATGATGAACGATCTATACAGAGTTCATTATTGATCTATAATCTATGGTGACCCGTGACAGAGACTCGAATGTCATGTCTCTGGGCGGGCGGCGGCATTCGGCAAACTAGACTTTTTAGTTAAAGGCTTTAAAAACCGCGAGTTTTAGGATCGAGGATTTTTAATGGGGAAGATTTCTCGAAAGGAGAGCGCCACCCGTATTGCCTATTTACATTCAGTTTGAGATTATGCAATTTAACATTATGATATCTTTTTTATACCTATTAATATCAATATATTCCTTTTTTGCTTTAAACTTATTTAATTTAGCTAAAAAGTTTGTTTATATTTTTGTTTTTATAAATGTTATTTATGATTATGTGTCCGTCCGTCCGTCCGGACTTATATTAATAACATCCATTTTATTTTCAGATAAATAAATTATTTTATATAACTAAATAAGAATCTCAATAAGAAGCACTCAAAGCCTCCCTTAACTTTAACCTAAGCTTTCATCCAAAAATAAAATTGTTGAAAGTAAAAGTTTATAAGGGTAATCCGCATATTGCCGTACTTTATTTCGTTATAATATTTGTACCTCCTCTGGCTCTCAGGTTAACAAATCTTTAACAAAAATAATTCTTGTATGTTGTCAAAGCATTTAAAATTATCTTAGTATTAAATGACTGATAATTGTTTTGTATGTAGTTGTTACTAGATACTAATTACAAATTCAATAAACTTGTGTAATCCATTATTTTTAAAAGTGATAAATTATAAAGTAAAAATCATTTTAATATGTACATATTATTTATATTATAATTCCTTAAAATGTCTGATATAAAAAATCATGAAGCAATATTATAATTTAATTATAATTTAAAACATTTAATTATTAGATTAATTTTATTATCATATTATTTGAATTATATAAGTTTTTGCTGGAATTATTTTGAAAGTTCAAAGCTCTATAATCCTCTACAGGCATTTTATAACGTCTGCTTAGGAACGAGCTTTTAAATGAATTCTGAATCTTTCGGGAGATGGCGCTAACTTTTCCACTAAGCGCCACCCGCTGGACACATTTTAAAGTACCTTATAGCACCAGTAACGTCCAATTTATGTTGAAATTAAACTATTATTGGACAGATGGCACCAATTTCGAATTTAAAGTTAATAAAACAAAAATATTTATAGCTGTTATACTCGTACGTATTTTCAATTTTTTTAATTCTGCGTTCTAATTAGGTACTATGTATCTATACTAATATTATAAAGAGGTAAAGTTTGTGATCTTGTGAGTTTGTGACGTTGTAGGGATTTCTGGACTGTGTACTGAACCGATTTTCAAAATTCTTTTACCAATAGAAAGCCACATTCTTTCTGAGTGTTATAGGCTATATGTAACCCGAAGAATGAAAACGCTTTTTCGTGGTAGTCGGATTTGCAAAGTATGTCGGAGAAATTTATATGGCTAACGTTGTAAGTCTTAAAAAGGTCTATAGAAAAGTTCTACATAGTATATGTCTATCTCCTAAGGTACACTCGCTATAACTATTTTCATTATTATATATTACTGTTTTATTATACTTTATTTATTCTATCTATACATATAATAAACTAACTGACAATAAAGGAAACTAGCAGTTAATCTGACGGTTAAACAAAATGACAGTTTAACTAACTGTTAAATTAACTGACAGTTAAACCTACTGGTACCTAGTTAAAATACCTGACAGTTAAACGAACAGACAGTTATAACGTATGATGATGACCTATAATATATATAATACTATGTATTCTTGAACTTAGTAATACCTATTCATATTTTCAATATAATAATATAATATTTTTAAGAACGTAGAAACATATTGCCTAAGAGAAATAAGAATACTATTATCAGAGTGGTTTAATTTGCTAAGATTATTATGATTATTTTATACTACATGATACTTTTTAAGAATGAAAAATATATGGATGGTTTTGAACCCGCTTCATTTTGTTTTTTAATGCGAACGCGGCACCACTGAGCTACCACTGCTTGTGATGATACTGATGTACATTATTGATTAAAGTATTACTTTATTCATATACAGTAGGTTATTTTCAAAGTTTTCGTTTAATTCGTAACAATAGGAAGGTAATAATTACCTCAGCACGAAAAATGAATAATAATTACCATGCTATAATTATTAACATTAATGTAGTTTCCTACGTTGTAACTGATAGTACGTGCTAGGTACGTATAAAACAAATATAACGTAGCTTTGTAGTATTATGTAATACGAGTAATATACCCAAATTCATATGACACCGAAATACACCCAAGGTGGCGACGTCCCCTATGCTATATAACTAGATGCTACACACAAAAGGTCTTTTTTGTAAATATGAGTACAATAATTATATCAATAATAGTTTCAATATGGCATCCGAGGTCGTGTCTGCAATCGATATGTCCACGTCAGTGGCGTCGCACCACCATTATTTATCGTGGCTGGAGTCACTGAACACGTAAATTAGGTACTGTAGAACATTGTAGTCATATATATTTTTTTAATTTTAACGATGTTTATTACGTATCTAAAATAGGAATACATACATGAACCTTATTATCAAATTAATTATCTAAGTGATTACATAGATTAACACAAGCCTCATCAGCCAATTTATATTTGGGCGGATGGACTCGATAGGCGAGCCGACGCTAGTGACTTCGCTCCGCTTACAGCGCGGCGAAGTTACTTGCGTGAGCGCGGCCGGAGCTCGCCTCGCGACGGGCAGCGGTGATGGCACCCTGCGACTTTGGACGTGGCACCGGGACGTTACCTGGGTCGAGCAAGCGGAGTATCCGAGGGCACACCGTTATGGAATTACAGGAGCAAAATTTGCATCATCTGGACTTTTATTGGCAACTGTAGGAGTAGATGGCGCGGCTCGTTTGTGGGCTGTGCACGAGACTCTCGTCGTGAGACGAACCATGGCGGCGCCAGACGCGGCGGCGGCGCGGTCGCTTCAGTGGGCGATGAGTGAGAGATTGATAGTTGGACACGATGATGGGGGAATACGAGTATGGGCTATTCGGTCGGGAACACTGCTCGCACACGTGCGGCCTCATGAAGGAGCCGTCTACGCTATCGCAACACCGGCCGCCGCTGCACTCTTATTAACTGCCTGCACTGATGGAGTGCTGAAAGTCTTTGAGTTGGATGGTAAGAAATATAAACTTTTTATGAAAAAATACCAATACCAAAATACCATGTAAAAATAATAATATTACAATAAAAAAGAGATTAAAAGTAATTTTCTGTTTACAAAATATGAATATCATGTTCTAGTAATCAAAAAAGTTATTGATTTTTTTTGTATAGAACAGTTCGCTAGCAAGCCCTAAGTAATTAGAAAGTTGTATACTTGTGAGCGAGTTCGCCGCTGTTACCGATACGAAACCGATTTGGAAAACGATATTATTTACAGAAGTTATTGCACACGGAAGAGAAGGCGATGTAGGTCCACCACCACTACTATGGGAGGATGGAGCGCATGATTTAGGAGCGCTTTGTGCTACGGATTGCTTTGGAGGAGCGGCGACGGGCGGACACGATGGGCGCGTGCGTGTATGGCGCGTGCAGGGGGCGGGCGGTGAGCGGCACGTGGTGGCTGGCGTCGTGCTGATCGGGCACACTGCCGCCGTCACTGGGCTGAGTTGGGTCAGAGACGTGCTCGCCTCGGCGTCGCTAGACCGCACGGCACGGCTGTGGAACTCCGACTCTGCTGTTTGCATCCGAGTGTTGCACGCACACTCGCGTTATCTTACGTGCGTGACTCTTGCAAGTGATTTGCGTTACATGGTTACCGGTTAGGATGATACATTATTTTATTTCAATGATTATTTTAATAATTTAACTGTTTCTTTTTTATGTTTTTTTGTTACAGCTTCCAATGACAAGTCTATTCGGACATGGTCGTTGGGAAATTTTTCTTTTAATGACGATATAGAGCCACATTGTAATCCTCTTGTTCATTTCGGTCTCGGCGATCTTGAGGTGAAAATAAGTAGTAGAATGCATGTCTTATGTTGAAAAAAAAAACATATTTATTATTCATTTTAAGATTTAATATTTACCCAAAATTAATTAGGGTATCGGTCCAGTTGACGACAGTGAGTCGACAGATATAGAACATTTAGAAGAAGGCTTAATATGTACAAACTCTGATATTCGTTGCTTGGCGCGCGTCTCCCACGTTGCCGCCATCAATGCTATTGCTGTTTCAAAGGACCATATTGCCACTGCTTGCAGGTAGTTTTCTCATGCATTTTATATACAAAATACAAAAGTTTATAATGAGATAAAATGTGTGACACACTCATCAATCATAGCATTGTTAGAATGTTTAAGTTATATGGCATATAGTTATAATATATTATAATACTAGCGACTCACGCTCGCTTCGCTTGTGTGCGTCCCTACCTTCCTTCCCCATAGAAATTTTTCGTCCCCAGGTTCACTCCCGTAACGGAAGATTTCCGGGATAAAAGTTTTCATCTAAATCGGTTCAGTAGAACCAGAGATTACCCCCTACAACGTCACAAACTCACAAACTGTACCTCTTTATAACATTAGTATAGAAGTATAGATATGAAAAATGGACCGAACCCTGAATATATACATTTTTTTGTTTTTTGAACCCGTAAATCTCTGGTTTGACTAGCCCAATTACCTTTATTTTTATACTATTTATTGAGAAAGTCCGTTTGCGAACATAAAAGTTATACATATACTAGCGACTCACCCTCACTTCACTTGGGTTCGTCCCTAGGGTATATGTATACAAATATTTGAATAGGATATTATAAAATTTTTCATTAGTTTTAATTTTTTTTTAGTGGGTCCCTATTTTTTTTTTCAAAAATAAAAGTAGCCTAAGTTACTCCTTATTAATCAGCTCTCTGCCAGTTAAAGTCCCGTCAAAATCGGTCCAGTCATTTCAGAAATTAGCCGGAACAAACAGACAAAGTAATAAAAAATGTTGTTTTGGTATTATTATGAAACGTGTATACATCCATGATTTAGTAAAAAACTATTATTTTGACATTACAAACAGACACTTCAATTTTATTTATCTGTATAGATAAACTACGTTGGCGGTAGTAATATAGTTCATTTAATGAAAACTAGCAAAATACCAACGTAAGAAAAATAACTCTCTTTTCACTTTCCATCTTAGGTACGTAGATAGATTACACACCTTAGGTACATACATATATGTATACCATAAAATATACTCGTAAGATTTTTCAGTGATGGATTCGTGCGATTATTCAAATGGTTAAAACAAGATGACATTACGATCGAGTTAGAGTTCGAGTTGGCAGCTCACTCATATCCTGTGCTAGCGGCTGATTTTGGCGCCGATGGAACCTTATTGTTAAGTGGTGGTCTCGACGGATGTGCTCGTCTTTGGGATGTGCAAGTTAGTCAAATATGATACGGTTTACATAATACTTTCTTAGATTTACGCGAATGTTTGACATTATTTTTTAAATAAAACTATCTTTTCGGATTATTTCGCGGATTTATTTTGATTTTTGGTTCCCGACGTTTCGAATGCTTTACAGCATCCATGGTCACGGGAGAGACTGAGGTGTTACATGTCTTAAAGATATAGTTGTTACAGACAGCCTACCAACAATTAACAAAATGAAAATTGCACCAATTACATTACAATATTTTTTAACTTAAAACATTTTTATAATTTTAATTATAATTGAATATGGAAAATTATTTATTTAATTTTAAGTTTTATTTTAAGTTTATTTATGCAAAGAATAATAGCGAAACCGAACAAAAATTAATTTATCTTTTCTGAAACTAACAGATTGACTATTTCCTGGTACGTAATTACAGACAGATTTACTGACAGTTATTACTGATTAAATAGTACCGTGTCCTCGCATCGCTCAGGCGTACGTAGATTTAGTAGGTTTTTACATTAGGCTAATCATCTATTAGAGTAGTTTTTTGGACAACGCGATGTTTTACACATCATTAGAATTAAACTAACAAGCTTTCACGATTATATCTGTAGTAGTATTAGTAGGATTAAAATTGTAAATTTAGGTGACGCAATTTGAAATGAAAGTTCCCACTAAATGGTACCATCATTCTTAGCATTAAAGGAATACTGTATATGTATAAATTTTGGTCATCGCTTACATTTCAAAAACAATATTTATAGGAATCAGAAGTTGGACGTGAACCAAAAGAACACAAAGTTCAATTTAAAAAAGACAAATTCAACTATCTGACCTAAAGGAATTTATGACGATAAAACATCGCTAGTTAGTATATCTATCTGATAGCTTCACTTCGTGTAAGCTACGAGTAAATGTCAACTGAACTCTAGTCAGGCACCTATTCTATTTATAGTAGTGGCGATGATACATTTATTCTCACGGGTATTCAAACAATAGTAATATTTTCTGACAGTCAGGTTGTGAGCTGGTGGTGGTTTCAGCAGAGAGTGTGCACGCGTGCGCGGGCGAGGGCGGCGGGGAGGGCGGCGGGGGCGTGCGCGACGCGCGTCTGCGCCCGCGCCGCCCGCCGCAGGTATTGGTGGCCAGCGACGACGGCCTCGCCGCGCTGTGGGGCATCGACCCACCCAGCCCGGACCCCTTGCAGTTTAGTGGTTTTGTTTAGTAATATTTTAAGAAATTTACTCTTTATTAAGGAGATGTGCAAGGCGAAAGCCCATGACTGAAGATGATTTGATGACTCTTCCGACTTGGACCAAAAATTCTCATATCCGCTTGAACGCGCGCCAACAATGTAAGCCCATAGTTAATTGAAAGATAATTTGATATTTATTTAATAACTTTATAGTGTTTACATGGGACTGGCAGAGGCGGCAGTGTGCTGCGCGTGGGCGGCGGACGGTCGCGTGCTGGCGGTGGGCGGAGAGGCGGGCGAGCTGCGCCTGCTGGCCGCGCCGCCTTGCGCCGGTACACTGTGCCAGGAAACAGATGCACATGATCTTGGTAAAATATTACTACTATTTAAAATATTTCAGTTTAAAGAACTTTATTTTCTCATTACAAACGAGTCTTTTACATAAGGAACTTATAGCTATAGTAAATTATGACAGTTGATCAGTAGAACTGAGAACATTAGAAAGAACACACATACAACCTAGGTTTGAACCTATTGAGACTTTTTTATTCCTTACGGTAAATTATGATAGACTTTTGCTCTTTAATAGTTTTTGTCCAGTCTCGGTTCTAGTCATAGGTAGACTAAGTGAGCAGCACGTGGTGTAGCATAACTATGTGTTAGATATTTTTTTACAATATTTCTAACACATAGGTATGCTACTCGACTTCTTATTTATTATATTACGCATAAGTATACTGGTAGTAGTGCAATCTATACTAATATTATAAAGAGGTAAAGTTTGTGAGTTCATAGGGGATAATCTCTGGATCTACTGAACCGACTTAGATGAAATTTGGTAAGAAGATAGTTTGAGAGCCTTAGTTTGAGACCCTTAAGAGAGTAAAAATGGGGATGAAAGTGTGTATTGGGAAGCAAACTAGGGATGACCCCGAGCGAAGTTATTTGTATTATAGCTAGTTGTATTATATTCATTAGCTTGGTTTCATTGTTAATTTTTAAGATGATGAAGGTAAGGAAAATATTATTTTAATTAATATAATTTGTTAATATATATATGTTTAATATAGTTTGTTTTATGAGATTTGTAATTGAGATAATTTAGATTTTGATGCATTACCCCATATTTCGATGAATTATAATAGAAGTGGTTTTACTAGGCTATCATAAATCATTAAGTCGATTAAACTGTAAATTTTGCTTATTATGTGATGAATATGCGAATTCCAAGTTAGATAGGTGTCCGATCTTAAACCAAAATATTTTACTTTCTTCTTTTCTTCTAATGGAACATTATTTTTGGTTTTAAAAGTCGTATGATTATATAATATTTTTTTGGAACTAGATTAGATTTATATGACGTTCAGGAAAAAATTGTAATAATTTAATGCTGAATAAAATATTTTGAATTTGAATACAAACTTTACAAATAATGTAATATTTGTATAATTTTATCGTTTCGTTATGCAGGAGTACTGAGCTGTGATTTCGCCCCCACTTTTGAGATTCAAAATATAGCAGAAAGCAGAAAGACGTATTTGCTCGCGACCGGTGGCCGAGACGCATCCGTGAAGCTGTGGTTCGTGGAGTTGGAAGGATTTTTCGACGAGAGCATCGACAAAGGCTCATTGAAATTAGCAAAGACTATAGCGGCGCACGGCGGCGCGGTGCAGTGCGTGCGCTGGGGGCTGTTTGGGCGCTACGAGAGCGAGCTGGCGCTGGCGACGGGCGGCGCAGACCGCTGGGCGCGCGTGTGGCGCGTGACCGCGCGCGGCGCCGCGCTGGACGCGAGCGCGGCGGCGGCGGTGCCGGCGGGCGCGGCGGGCGGCGCGCCCGCCGTGCGCCTGCTGGCGCTCGGCCAGCACTCGCTGCTGGCTGTGGGGTCTCTGTCCGGAACGCTCGCGGTATGGAAAATACCACACGTCGATGCACTCGATGAAACGGAGGGCTGTGAAGCTCGTGCCTGGGGGACGGAAGGAGTTGCGAGATGGTTAAAAGAATACGTGACGAGGCCGCCCGGTAATATTTTATGTGGTATTATTACTCATAGCGATATAATGTTATCGCATAATTAAGTATTTTTTATTTATAATGTTTAAAAGAGACCGGTTAAAATCAGATCGTTTCACTCGCGTGAACTTACTCCATTATTATAATTTTTTCTTATATTTTGTGAATATATACTAGCAATTTTTTTTATAAAAATTTTTATATTTTATACCGCAGTGGACTTTTTTCCCATATGTTTTTTTTATATTTATGTCAGTATTAAAACGATGTTACGGCGGATTTTCAGACGCAAACGTTGCGAACAGATATACATTTATTTTTAAAAATGGAAATATTTAAATTCATTAGGTTCATCGGTATCTGAAACAGAAGAATTTCGTTTGATAGAAGCGATACGTGAGGCAGGACTGAGCGGCGCGCAACTGCTTGATAAACCAATTAAAGACTTAATGTTCATCTTTGGATTTGGTACGTTGCTTAAGAACTATTTAAATATTTAATATTTTTGAAGTGAAACTTGTTAAGGCGCGCCATGAGAGGGAAAAAAGGATTGGCGTTACGATTTTTGTATCGGAAACGGTTACTCTGGAACGTTACGTTACGGTAGTGAAACTTTTTTTTAAATGAGCGATGGAAAAATATCACATGAATATTGTTAAAAAAATATTTACTTAAAATAGTTTTTTATACATTATAAATATATTTTTATTTCACTAAATATTTGCTATTTCATTGGAGTACATAATTTTCAACATTTGATTGAAAATAAAATTTTATCTTAGCACTATCTGTACTATGTGAAATACTATTTTAATATTTTCCTTTTTAAATTGATAAAAAAATATTTTTTTAGTATCTCTCCTATCTAATTACTTATGTAAAATATAATTTGAATTTCATGAAAAGTACCGATAACCTACAGAAGTTTTACTTCTTGCCTTCTCGTGTATACATTATTACACACACACTCAATTTTTTTTATTGTCATTGTTTTTCTTTACCCGTTCCATTTTATTTAAAGATCTAAGGATTATTGAAGACAAAATGCAGTTAAAATAGTTATAAAGATCAAGATATTACGAGTATTTAGAGAAAAGTGGTATAATATATGAAATTTTTTCATGCAAATAAATATAGGCTCAATCAAACTGATGTTGTCATAAAAAATATTTTGCTAATATTATACCACCAGATATGACATTACTGTTCAAGGAATTCATTTATTTTATTAATAAGTAGTAATTAATAACTACAATGGTGGTTGATGTTAGGACGTTAAAATAAGTAATACGAGTATATACGAGTATAATATGTATGTAGGTATACATTATTTTTTAAGATACAATAAGAAACGATCTCACCGGTGTTCATAATAAAATCCATATCCTATACCTACTAATATTTTAATGTGAAAGATTTCTTTGTTTGTATGTCCTTCTTTCACGTCAAAACGGAGTGACGGATTTGCGTGACTTTTTGTGTGCAGACGTGCAGAGTTAGAGGGTTATACTTTTTACCGCGGCAGATTATCTTATTACCGCGGGAAAATACTATGTAATATATAGTCTCCATACTAACTATTAAAACGTACCTAGGGACGAGCCCGAGGGAAGCGTGGGTGAACCGCTAGTAAATAATATAAATTCTTTATATGCAGAAGAGGAACTGAGCGAAGATAGTGCGGAAGAAAAATGTGAAGAAGTGCGCGCACGATTATTGGACGAAATACTATGGCTTCGTCGAGATCCACTTTCCAGCGAATTGGTTTGAAAAATTTATTTTAGTACCAGCGATTTACCCGCGCTTCGCTCTGGGTCGGACCCTCTATGCATGTTTTAAATACCTATATAAGCATAATTTGCCTTAGAAGATTCACATATGCGATGGCCGACTTTTTTGTAAGTCTTTTTAAGTAGGTATATCCTAAATGTTGATTGGGGGTTGGGTCATAGGCTGAAATATACATACCTATATTAAAACAGTAACTTAGCAAAATCTGTACATGAAATATTTTAATAAAACCATAATTATAACCGTGTAATGTATAGTGTATAGAAAATAGAACCCAAAACAATTTTTTTGTCTGTAAGTCTGTTTATCTGTTTGTGTGTTTCACTCAAACAGTACTGAACCGATTTTAACCAAATCTTGTGTTGTGATAACTTATTACTCGGGTCAACATTAAGGATGCTTTATACTACAGGAAAATCTTTATTCCCACGTGAAAACACAATAACGGGTTCTATTGAGTCGTCCTTATAAATTTACATGGCTAACGTCCGTCGTCGTCCTTATAAACGTAGGTACAAGAAAATTGTAGGTCTTAAAAAGGCATAAAGAAAAATCTGCAATAGCATAATGTTTTCTTCTAAGGTACACTTGCAATCACTATTTATATCTATTCAAAACGTACCTATTACCTAGAAGGACGCACCCAAGCGAAGCGAGGGTAAGCCGCGACTAACCCAAACTTCCCTTCCCCCAACTTCAAGTGGATATTTAAATTAAAAAAAAATTATGTTCAATTTTAAGATAGGGCTCATTTTTTTCGTTTTGCACTTTACTTTGTGAAGAAAAAAAAACATTGTATGGTTGTCCTGTAAAACACCCTTAAAAAATGAAAAAAACTGGAGAATTCGATAATTTTTACTTTGAAAACTACTTTTTTTAATAATCATTGAAAAGGTGTACTTTATTTTTTTTAATATAAGCTTCCCGAGACCATAAAACATAAATTTCTCGGAAACAGCTTAATATTTCAATTTCAACAAAAAAAATGGTTGCTTTATATACTTCGAAGATCATAATGATATTACCCTAGTTTCATGAAAATCAAAAAATTATTGCAGAAATTAAAAACAAAAAACCAAGGAAAAATTATAAAACGGGTTTTTTTGCAAATATCTTGAAAAATTTGAGGTTATTGTAACAAGTATCATCTATAAAGTTGTACATTTTTACTAGACCTACAAGCTTTGTAAAGAATATTTTTCGATAGAATGTTACAGTAAGCCGGATATCGAAAAAAGCTAATTTTTAACGGTTTGCACCCCTCCATTTCTCGGGGGCAGCTGGGACAGTGGGAGCCTTTTACGGATTTTTGTTCCTTATATACCTGCTAACGTTTTGAAAACATAAAACTTCAGGTTTTAATTTTTTGTATAGCCCATCTCGATCGGTCTATTTGTAAAGCGCATATTAAAATTAAAGAAAAACTTACTAAGAAGAAAAACTTAATTTGTTTAGAGTTAAGTACTTAAAAAATAATTAAAGAAGTATATTTGGCTTGGCATGTTAAAGTATGGGACTACTGGGAGTGTGGTTGTGTATGCCTGTATTTTTGTTATTTCTTCAAGCTAAAACATCGAGATGGATTTGGACGAAATCTATACTATAATATTATAAAGAGGCAGAGTTTGTTTGTTTGAGGAGTTACTAATGCAATTTGAAAAACTCGTTTTACATTATATAGGCCGTTTATTAGGCTATATACCATCCCGCATACATACACACATAGGTGGTTTTGGTACAGTTTATAGATTAGGATTTGGAGTAACACATAGGCTACTTTTTGGCCGACGTAGACTATTATAAAATGATTGTAATAACTCAATTTTTTCTTCTTATTCTGTATTACTATTAATCTATACATATAATAAAACTGTAACTAAACCGAATCTGTACATGAAATATTTTTTGGAAAATCTTATTGAAATAGACATTATTATCGATACCGAGGCCGAATCTATAGTTTTTAGAATTTTTGTCTGTCTGTCTGTCTGTCTGTTACCGCATCACAGAAAAACCACATAGAAAGAGAGAGAAAACATATAGGATACTTTTTACCGCGGGAAAATGTCTCATTTCTGAGAAAAATACAAAAACTGCAATATAAGAGTATACTAATAAATAAATGTAAAACCTAAAAATTTGGTTTTTGGTCATCTGAACCCGGGCGTAGCCGCGGGCAATGCTAGTACAGAGTAAAAAGAAGAATTTGAGTTATTACAATCTTAGAATACATCTTTATCTATTGCTATCCACCTGAAAATGATTGGTATAAAGTGTATATTGTAGAGTAAGAGTATCAAAGAATAAAGTGTATCCTCCTAATATTATAGACACGAAAGTTTGTGAGGATGGATTGATATATACATATATATTATGTTTGGTACTCTCTCACGCAAAAATTACTAAACGGATTGTGATGAAACTTTACAATAATACAGCTTTTACATCCGAATAGCACAAAGGCTATAAAGCACATTAGAGCTACACGTGGTGTGTGCAGGAGGCGGGCGCGCCGCACGCGCTGCGCTGCCCGCTGTCGCACGCGGTGCTGCGCGAGCCGGCGCGCGCCGCCGACGGCTACACGTACGAGCGCCGCAGCCTGCTGCACTGGCTGCTGGCCGCCGGCGACGGCGACGGTAGGAATATAATATACTTTGTACATAAAAGACTTTCTATAAAATAATTTATATTAACAATAATTACACTCAAAACTAAAAAGGGGCAAAGTAAAAAGGAAAGAACTCGGAATTAAAATGTTCTTATTAATCTAATATATCTTTATTATCAGCCAAAACATCCACCCTCAGCACATAGTTAGACATTTTTGTCATTTTACTGATTAGTCCTTCCGTACTAAGAATAATATTTTTTATCGCCTGCATTCAATATTAGCAATAATAGCTGAAATTAGATTTAACTTTAAGAGAAGATCTGCGTATACTATATCTCAATATATCCAGGCATATATGTAGGTACTCTTCTATATCAGTAATTTGTTAAAAATATATAGATTTAGATTATTTATAGGCTATAAATTAATCCTATCGTGTGTTTTAGCCGAGCTGTCACGGTTTCTTCTAGCAAGTCGACAATTTCAATCTAATGTGGGACATATACGTTTTTAGACGAGCTGCGGTCCCCGATGTCGGGGCGCCGGCTGCGCAGCGCGCGGGTGGAGCCCAACTACGGCGTGCTCGAGCTCCTGCGCCAGTACTGCGGCTGGCGCCGGTAGGCGACTCGCGCCTCACTCTATTATACTAATTTATACGCATTAACTGCCTTATTCTAATTCTACAGTGTGCAAGTTTTTTAAAGAGTGTTAAATAACATTTTAATTTTAAAAGTAAACTTAGTAGTTTTACTCTTAACATAAAATTTACTTAACTTATAATCGTAATGTTTGTCACAGTGAATGAATTAATAAAACACTTTTTCGACGTGTAAATTGTTTTTTTTATGTCTTATTTGTTTTTATTTGCGTTTTTTTTCTCAAAACATATTTTGATATTTACTTTAACGTATGTGCGAGTATAATATATTGTATATATAAATTAATAAAAGATATTTTTTTTAAAAAGCTTTTATATATTTGATTTTACAAGTCATAGCTTGGTTGCACTATTTAAGTCAACTGAATCATAATTGTATGCGTATACAAAATGTCGTGTCTGAACCGTTGACTGCTGAAGAGATCTCTATACCCTGGGTGCAGCAGACAGGCCGCGGTGCATTATAGAAATGGCTAATACAATTGATTGAAAACGTATATAAAATTTCGTCTCTGTGCTGGTGACCGCTGAGGAGATTTCTAATTTGAATCTAGTCCTGGATGCAGCAGCCAAGTTATGGCAGGCAATTATAAAATTTATATACAATATTTTTATATATTATTTATTTATTATTTATATTATATTTTTATATATTTTTTATATATTATTTATATTATAAATAATATATAAAATTTTGTGTCCAAACTTAACAGTTGAAAACCGATGAGTAGTTGTTTCGTCAGAAGCCAATCCTAAATGGAGAATCAGGTCACAATTATCATAAAACTTTATTGTTTCATTTAACTATGTACGGTAAGACGAAGTGATTCTAATTGATCTCGCAAGATTTGATCCATACAAACATACCAACTAACAAACATTGCAAGCTAAATAAAAGCTTTTGAATAATAAATGCGTACTTCTTTAAGGAACGGTGGTTGAAATAAGATTTTAAATAAGTCAGTTTCTAATACCTGGGGTAAATCTTTAAAATATTAAGATTTGAATTTTTCTACACCTGTAACCCACACACTACATTACACTAGTAAATTCAAACGATAGAATATTAGGATTTATGACCTCTAGTAATTAAACTAATTTCTCCGTATCATGCCGGCCAGTTGAGATTGGTTCTTGATTCTGCATGCAGGTTGATATCAGATACGTTTGTTTATCATGGCACATCTGTTCTGAACAGTGAATCACAATCATAATATCTGTTAATCTCGTTAGTTCACATTTATATCTAAAAAAATTTAAGAGAATATTAAATACTAAAATAATACACCAGTGAATGTTTCAACGATCTCATCTTTATTTATATTACTTACATTTATATATTTACAAGTGAGGCAGTAACAGTGTCAACGAATCAAACTTATGTAACTCCGTATCACTGCTCGTCGTACAAATTAACAAACGGTGACGTAACTAGAGGGCGTCACTTGCTATCGCTTGGCGATGAGGTCGGGCGCCTGCCGGGAGCGCCGGCGCGCGCGCGTCCGGATGTGGCGTGGAAATTATACTTATCCCTAGTACTCGTTATTAAAAAATCACTATCACTAGCGTAACGCTTCGATATAACGAACGACGGCATCGAGTGCATACCGCGCGCCCCGGAACGGGTCCCCGTCGGTCGCTTGTCTTTAGTCAAAAGATTTTATATATTTTATTATTTATAATAATATTTACAAACTTTACAGAGACCTCCGCGTAGACTCGCGGGGAAAGTATTGATAATATTAGTCCGGCGCAGTCGCGAGCGCCCGTCGTCGACCGCAGGCGGCCGCGAGCGCGCCGACGAGTGCACACTCTACAGGCGTCGCTGCGGCGGCGGCGGCGGCGGCGGCCGGGCGAGCGGCGAGCGCTATTTGGGCGAGTCCTCGTCGTGGCATAGCAATCTGCGAAATAGAATCGGAAAATATTACAAATTGTTTTAATAATAAATGTTTTAATAATATAATAATGTTTCACCCTAAAAACTAAACTTTGTCTGTTGAATCAATTATTTGCTAATGGCTTGTAGGCGTGCCAGTTAAATGCCAGGAAATACCAGGAAATGGTTCAAGTCAGTGAAATTTATTTTATTTTATCCAAAATTCATTTTGCTATATTTTACATATTTTAGTATGTATTACTTATCTATACATATAATAAAATGAGTAAGCCGAATCAGTATATTAAATATTTTTTTGGAAAATCTTATTGAAATAGACATTATTATCGATACAGAGAGTATACTGATATGTAATACCTAAGAATTTAGTTTTTGGTCATCTGAACGCGGGCGGAGCCGCGAGCAATGCTAGTTAAAAATAAAATGCATCACAGTTTGTGGAATAGCGTCAAAAAGTAATCTATTGCTATATAAGTGCACAAAAATAATCTAAAGAGTGGCCAAAGCCTGTCCTATTTATTTGTATGGCACGGGCATATGTTCGTGTAAAGTACTATGTATATACATGGTTGGACATTACAATGTGTCAGTAGGTTTTAAATACTTCTGAAATATGAGCGAGTACTGACGGCAGCAGTAGCGCGAGCGCGAGCAACAGCGCGAGGCGCGCGAGGCGCGGCGCCGGCGACGTCGCGGCGTTGCCATGCTGCATCGCTGCGGGCTGCTCCCCTGCACACATACACGTAAGTTAATCAAATAATAAAACAATAGCACTATAATGTGCTATGAATACTTAATTTGGATCACATTAAAATCTCAACATTTCCTAATCTCTAATATAGAGTTATTAGTAAAAACTGCGACTGCATCCAAAAATAAAATTATAGTAATGACTTAATGGCTCTTTGTTTCCATTGAAAAGCTGGTCGGTAAGTGTACCGAGATAAAAGGTGACCTGTGTGCTATGGACTATAAACTGGTATGTTTAGTGACATACTGACCACTGAGCACGTGCAGCACCACGGAGGCAGAGTCGAGGTTTGAGGGCGAGCACGAGTAGTTGCCGGAGTCTTCTCGTCGAGGATTATATATTATCAAATTTCCGATCTGCAATTACAGTAAATAATTTATTTACATTACTAAATAGATATTATCTATCTAATATATTTAAACAAGCAATTCTGGTATATTTATATCGCCGATCTAAACGGGAAACGGGTCTGATGATTTCGCTGAAATTTGGTATGTGGGGGTTATCTGGGGCGAAAAATCGATCTAGATTATATTGAGTTTGTACTATATTTGAGTTTTCATGTGGTTTTCTTTCATTATTATTATATTCATATGGTCACACGCTCGGGCATAAGCATCGTCGTCAAGCGGCCAATGCGCATGATTGACAATCACAGGTCTCCGGGTTTGAATCTCGGTCGGATATAAAGTTTTACTTTTTTTAATTTTTTTTATTTATTAAAGTTTTTATTATTTTTTTAAAAGTTCGTCGCTAGCTTGATTCCCCATACAAATTTTCATCCCAATTTTCACCCTATAAGGGATGATTATCGGGATAAAAAGAATCCTATGTCCTTCCCAGGGTCTTAAAACTATGTTCTTACCAAATTTCATCTAAATCAACCGATTTATGCCTAACCAGGCAGATCCAGAGATTACGACGTCACAAACTCATAAACTTTATCTCTTTATAATATTAAGTATAGATTTATATTGATTGATAAAATTCAGTTTGTAAAAAAAATACTAGATTTCAAGCTGCTGCCTGCACTAAAAATGTAAACACCCTTATCGTATCCCTGGCCTATTCAATAAAAACTTAATTATATCTTATAATTAGTAAATTGATAATATTCCTTTTCTGTATTATGTAGGTAGGTCAAAAAGTTATGAAGCTCAGTCGAAGGCTCTATTATTACGTGTATTTGATGATATCCATGTAGCGTTCAAAATAATTACAAATTGATATTTTAGAGTAGACTCTATAAAAGGAGGGGAGGGGGACGTAGGAGGGAGGAGAGATCTATAAAGTTAAAATGATAGCCAAAAAAGTTTCAGGTATATAACGTAGGCTATTGCCGAGAGCATTCCTAATTTGAATGAAATGAAAAGATCTTAATGTAGCGTACCGTAGTGTCAGGCGCGAGACGCTCCATGCGGATCTCCACGAGGCTTCTATCGTAGTTGAGGACGCGTTCGTCGTTGTGGTACCAAAAGATGTAGGCTGGCTCCTCCAGCGCCTGCGTGATCACGCACTTGAGGCTCACCGTGCTGCCGGCCTTCACGTACAAGTCTGACTCGCCTACGATCTCGATTTTTGGCACTGGAAAGTTAGGTAATGTCGTTTCATAATTTATATACATATAATATAATGGTATTTTTGTTTTTTTTACACAAATATGTAACATGCAGTTATTCAATGTGCCAGTTTGTTGATTTGATAGTGGATTTTCGATGTGTCAAGTAAACAGTCGTGGATTCGGATTCCAACGTGAAATGTAAACAAGCATTTAAGAGAGCAATAAATATAATTGTTAATTATCAAATAATGTATTTTACTGACAATCCTTCTGAGCTATTTTAAATAGAAGTTTTACATAAGATATAAATGATTATAAATAATATTATCCTTAACAGAAAAAATTACACACATGGTATACGATTAGAATAAACATTTTCTGACCAATCGCTTTCGCGTCTTCTCCATTCTATATAATATTGTCGAAGTAATCTTACTTAACTAGCACGTTTTGTAGCCATTAACAATAGATTTTTTTTGAATTGAATGATATTTGAATTTTCTCCAACCCAATCCAATTGATACATCAATTTGTCATAATTTTAATACTGGAAAATATACTTTCAGTAATTTTATTAATTAAAGTCACATGAGGAGAGGAGGAGAAGTACCTAATGTATTAGTTTTTATGATCGGATTGTATTATTGTTGTTTGTTTAAATTATATTACTCTTTTAATGTGTCGATTTTCTTGTTTAGTAATTAATTTGAAGTTTTTAAGAATTGAGCCATTACTAGCATTTCTAATAATTAATATAATGCTTACCGACAACGTTGAGTTGTACGAAGTGGCTCATCTTAGGCTCTGTTCCAACCTGACACTCGTACACCCCAGCATCTCGGGCTTGCACATATTTAACCTGAAAAACAGATAACAGATTGTAAATTTATATATTAATTGTTTAAGGTTTAATTTAATAATTATTTTATCAGTATTAAATAAATCTGAATTCTGACATTCTGATAGTGGTAGTTTGATTTGATGTCTTTTTATTCAATTATCAGGTCTTCAGTGGGGCCTTCTTCTGTCGTCCCTTGCGGGTAGACTGTACGTGGAGGTAAGCTCCGCTGTTTTCGATGTTAGGAAAAGAGGCAATCGACATCTGTTAGCATGTCGATATTGTTCGACTTGTTTACTTCAGTTACTCCCACAGTATCTTGTCTTATGGTATTTTATTGTAGGTTAATGCGGCGGATATTAAATCAATATTTATTCTTCAAAAAGGAGCTTTGAGAGATTTATAACATCGGGATACTGTACGACAATTAAAAAATAATCGGTATATTTACGATTGTATCAAAATATAAATATATTAAAATAAATAATCTGAATCTCGAAAACGGCTCCAACGATTTTCATGAAATTTAGTATACAAGGGGTTAGTCTTATGTCTGGGAAAACGCGTGTTTTCGAAAAGGTGTCCATGTTCGAATCTCGGTCGCATACAAAGTTTTTACTTTTATTGTTTTTTAAATATTTATTCAAGTCTTACATGTTAAGAACTTACTCTTAAATTTTAAGAACGTAAAAAGGTGATGATTGAAAAGTGCTTATAAAAGGTTATTTGAATAAAATATATTTTGATTTGACTAATCGGGCATTCTGGATCCGCTAGAATTTGCATCCTTTTTATTACAGATAGTACACTTACAGTAGTAGTAGCAGTATTTTTTTAATAGGTGATTAATATCTCAAGCGAACTACGTATTTAATGTATCTTATGTCATAATCTTCTCTTACGTCATTTTTAAAAAGTGAGCCCAACTTGTCCTGCAGTAAAGCCTAAGGATAAAGCACCCTACAACTAAGACACATTTTAATAAGGATAATAAAATGACCTGTAACGTCCACGTGTCCGTAGCTTCGACCAAGAAGGCCTGGAAGCGCTCGTCCGCGATGAACGTGAAGCGGTCCACCGTGAGGATGTGGGCATCGCGTCGCCGGATCCATGACACTGATTTGTTACTCAACTGTCGCACCTATAACCGATAATAATCAATTATATAAGTTTTATTTCATACTTTAAGTAAAATGAATGCCGTATGGAAATCCGTTTGGTAGTTTTGAGTTTATCGCATTCAGACAGACAGACGCGGCGCGGGGACTTTGTTTTATAATTTGTAGTGATTTGGATTTGATTACATTAGTGACAGTATAGACATAGGATCAACAAATGATAATAACAATATTTTTTAAAACAATAATTCCGTAAGTATTATAGTTAGTACAGTTACCTTGCAAGGCAGGTAGGCGTGCGTGCCGAGCTGCGCGGTGATGTTGTTGGGGGCGGAAGAGTCGAAGTAGGGCCCGGTGTAGAGCCCCACGTAGCGGCGCGCGCGCCCGCCGCCCGCGCCGCCGCCCGCACCCGTCTCGCCGCACGATAGCACTGCAACACACATGTACTAAACTTAGCACGGGGGGTCCTCATATACCTATTAATAGAAGGAATGAGCCTAAAACATTATTTTTAATAATAATCATTATACTTGCTTTAATAAGCCATTATACATTCATCCTATTGTACTCTTTACTCGCACATACAAGCACGCACGTACACACATTAATATACACATACATTCGTTCACACGCACACTCACACACACACACACGCGCACACACGCACGCGCGCACACACACGCACACATACACACACAAATACACACATACCACACAAACACACACACACGCGCGCACAAAGACTTTCATATTTTTAAATTTTATTTTTGTTTTCATTACTTTTTTTCGCTGACTCCTGTAGAGGTTAACTGGAGGAATAGTTCTCTTGCCTTGCTCCCGTTCAACACCCTAGGGAGCTGGGTGTAACTGAAAATCAGCGCTGTTTGAGATTTAGGTCTTAGCAGCATTAGCTGAGTTATTACCCTTTGCCATAAGTTACTGTAAGCTTTACTGATTCTGTTAACATTTGTTACTGTTTTTATGGCAATAAAAACTTTTTATTATTATTATTATTAATATGTAATATTGGTATCATAGTTGTGTCGGTCGGAAACTCGTAGCCAATCACCGTGAAGTCGACGATATTACTAAAAAAAGAATAATTAACATATGCGAAATGTTTGAGAAGTCTAGTTTCGGGTGACAGACGGACTGACGGCACTTATAAGAGTAACACTATTATAGAAAGAGTAGATTATAATAGACTTATTTAAAGGATGAAAGATAAAAGGCAGGTACCGAGTGAGATGACAGTACTTATATAAAATACTAGCGACTCACCCTCGCTTCGCTCAAGTTCGTCCCAAATTTCATCTAAATCGGTTCAGTAGATCCAGAGATTACCCCCTACAACGTCACAAACTCACAAACCCACAAACTCACAATATCACAAACTTTAGCTCTTTATAATATTGGTATAGATATAAAAATTGCTAGTTTAAAGATATAAGATATAATTGAAAAATGACAGTTCACACTGCTTTTTGGGTTTAATAGAGAAACATATATAATGTATTTTCATCCAAATGCTCATTAATATAACAATATAATATTATAGTAATTGTATTCTCAACAGGTGTTACTCTAAAACGCTAAAATTGGTCGCACCAGTAACATTTGTGTAGTAGGTAGTACTAAGCAGTAATGTTACTGTGCAGTATTATTAGTTATTACTTTGTTGTTACTATTATTAGTGATAGGACCGAATAGATATTAATAATAATAACAACAGTACGTCTATAGACTTTTTGTTAAAATTCTTACTATCACATAGTTGCACGCGAACACAGTCAACACTTTAATTAATTATAATAATCGTATAACCTCAGTAACATAATTAAAAGTATTATTATTTCACCAGTAAACTTGTTCGTTTAATTTTTAATATAAAAGTAGAGTCTTCGAGTGAGATTGTAAAATAATTTTTATTTAAAATGTCGAATGAAAATGTAACACTTCACCGCCGCAAGCGTATGCACAGAGAGCGCGGACACTGACGCAGTACATAATAGATATCTCACCGCCGGGCGTAAAGTTTATGAAAATGTTCTCGCATAGAATACAGCGGATTATCCCGACCGACGACATATTCCTTCCACAGCCTTTAATATCGTTCGTGTACATAAAGTATCACTTGGCACCCGGGAATGATGTAGCCCCTACAGCTAGGACACTCGTCATAGTTAGAGACATCTAACGGTTGCCTGTATTTTTTGATACGTGCGATATTTGCTTTGTGAAGTCATTTCCATCATCCGCTCATTTTCATGTAAGATTTGCCAGGATCGAGCAATAATGGACAGATTTATGTAGTGCGTGCGAGAGCCGGCGGGGTCGGTGGCGGGAGCGTTAATTAATCACGTCGTACCCGCGACGAGACGGCGCCGCTGCGGCCTCTTAACTGCCGCAACATTGGTTTTAATACTTTTAAGGAATAATTTTAAGAATATTATCTGAAACTGGTTACTTGTATCTCCTATAACTTTAGGGCTTTTGACAACGTCTTACTTATGTAATTTGATATTTTTGGCAGTATAAAGAGAATACACAAATTATTAAGATTATTATTAGCCGTAGTATAATATGTTGCTATGTAAGTGTATTCAAGTTACAAGCTCCACGTGGTATGTGCTCAGAAATTAAAAAAAGTTAAAATTAATTCAGGTTAATAATATTAATTTTGTTTGTTATTATTTAAAAAGACAAATTACTAAGCAACACTATTACTATATACTTTTACAAATGAAAAATATTAATCTGAAATGCTGTCATTGGTAGTACCCAGCCATCTTCCCTATTGAAATATGGATGTCTTTTTAATTTCTATGGCTTCTCGAATCATTCTAGGGCGATATTGGTTTAAAATCGATTTCATGAACAATATAACAGAGTAACATTAAACAGAATAACAACATTCTCATGTTTCAAAGTTTTCAAAGATGGCTAGACTCGAGCTTTTGTTTCCGCGTAGAATTAAACTGTGAAAGAGATTTAAGAGAAGCTGTCCCCATTAAAGAGCGCTGAGTCTACGTAATTTATAGGTTTTCCAGTAACGGCAGAGCGCGGCGCGGGCAGGTTGAGTCGCCTTTCAAAGCATGTTTAACTTCTCGAAAGCTCACCGCTTGACCGCTAATTCAATTTCGCGCTGGAAGGAACTACGTCATACTTTTGAAAAGAAAAAATAAACGTTACATTTAGATTGATCGCTGCACTTCAGACGAATATATAGTACACACGATAGTAATAAGAGATAGAGATAAGTATTGGAAATAGGTACGTATAAACGAATATATTGTTTGCCTTTGTAGAAAAATACCAAAATTTTTTCTTTTTGTCGATGCGCGAAGAAATGGTTTGATAACCAATGAATCAATACAATAATTGTGCTCGATATATTGCAACTTATTATAAGTTCGAAGTGAGGGCTAATTAAAATGTAATCCAATTAATTGGGAAGCTGTGCTCATTTGTTGATAGAGTGGTTGTTATGCAGCTTGCACTGATTGCGTCGAACTCTACTCTGAATGAAACACGCTGCTCGTTTCATGTTTAATACTGTGCACAGTGCGCTGTGACTGATAGGAAACAACAAACCTAGGCTTGATAATACCAATTAAGCCCCTAACATGTTACCACCTGAGGGGTGCAGAAAAGGAAGACAAAGAGAATGAGGGAGGTAAAGAAGAGAGAGAGAGAGAGAGACAGATGACTGAGTCGCTGGAACTCTTGACGAAACTCCACTCAGTTATCTAAATAGCAACAGCGATTTTATTAAAAATTCCATCCACACCACCTTGATGTCCAGCGTTCCACAACAGTGCGATTCTAAAGACATTTTCTGCCCCGCACAACCACTCTGTGGAACCAGCTGTCGCCGGCGGTTTTCCGAACCGTTACAACCTGTCAATTCAAGAAGAAAGCGTATTCATTCCTGAAAGGCCGGCAACGCATCTGCAAGCTTCGCGGTGTGGCAGATATCCATGGGCGGCGGAGATCACTATCCATCAGGTGAGCCTCCTGCCCGTTTGCCCCCTTGGTCCCATAAAAAATAGTGATCTCTTGCTAGATAAGGTACTTGTATTTAATTGTGATTGTAATTAATAAAATTTTAATTAAAATTAAAGTTTGTCTTATATAGAAACGGCCTAACCGATTTGGGTGCAGTTTCACTAATGTATTTTACTAAGCTTCACTTAACATTCAGTATTTGTTTTATTTCAATTAGTTTATAAATAAAAAAAGTTATGTCAGTTCAAAGAATTACCTAGGGACGAACTTGAGCGAAGCAAAGGTGAGTCGCTTGTAATGTAAATGTTAAGAGTTTGCATCGTGGCGTAACAGATGGCGCTACGGTCCATCTGAATCGCGCTATCGTTTGGTTCTTTGTAAAACCATAAAGGTAAAATATTTTTTTTGATTTAATGTGAGGCTAAGGAATATCTAGTGTTTTACTTTACAAGTGGCTCCAGATACTACCATTGGATATCCCTAAGGATTGATTATCCCTAATCTTTATGTATATAATTCTTCTGTGAGTGTGTATGTCACTGAACTTCTCTCAAACGACTGGACCGATTTTGATGAAATTTTTTGTGTGTGTTCAAGGGGATCTGGGAATGGTTTAGATTCACAATTTGAATAATAATTTTCATCAAAAAAATTATTAAAAAAAGTTTGAAATTTTCAAATTAAAGACGTGTAGACAGGACAACGTCTGTCGGGTCCGCTAGTATAATAAAATGAACGAGTGTTAATATTGGCTTACAATTATTTCAGAAACTTTTGTAGTATGGATTTTTTAGTTCTTGCACGGGAATGACTTGTTAGACTAAGATAAAGAGTATTGCATGCCCACCTGCGACCCGAGCCGATCTTACTCCCTTGCAAATAATTATTCGGCTTGTTAGGTCGTTGATGCACAAGGTAATAATAAATAATTAACCAGCAAACACACTCACATGTATAATATGACCCGATATGAATATTTTGAAAATGAATAAATATATTATTAAAATAAAAAAGTCGACTGCATAAAAGCTAACTAAAAAGAAGAAAACAATTCACGAGGGAATATACTCGTAGTATTATGCAGTCGGAGACATACATATTTTAAGTAGGAAAATTAGCGAGAATTGTTGTGAAACCTAAGAATGATTTTTAAATATTTATTCAACGATACCCCACTTGACATAGTTCGTCGATTTACATTTTTTTCTTTTTCAGATTATGGAATCTAGCAGCCCTCATTTTTTTTATGTCATCTATCTAAGAACACTTGGAATAATGGGACGAATGTAACCATACCTTAATTAAAGAAATCCATCGAGTGTTTTGGAACATATGAGGGAATAACGAATATTACAAAAAAACATACAAAGATAGACGCGAAAAACATAACCCTTTCCTTGCAGTCGGGTAAAAATAGGCATAACTTTGGTGCAAT